TGAGAGATATTGCAATAAACCTAAAACGATTCAACTAGAGTGAAGAAGATGAAATGAAAGAAGCCTTGAAAAAAGAGGAAGAAGCTTGAGTTACCATAGTAACTAGCGGAAGCTTCTAGGGATAGAACTAGATTCGTTGATTCTAAGAATACCCGGAAACTAAGGTTTGTAAATAATCTTCACAGTGCTTAATTAAAAGGTCTTTAGGGTTTGAGAATACTCTTCTCAGTGGTTTATAGAAACCTCTTTAAGAACAGACTTTTATTTATCAAATCATCATAAAAACTGTTGAATACAACTCTAGGCATAAGAAGCCTATATATATGAAAACCATAAAACCCTAAAACAATAAAGATAATTATCTAAAATAACTAATAAAATAAATAATAAATATTTGGAAATATCCCAAATATCTATCTCCATCATATTGCAATAAACCTAAAACGATTCAACTAGAGTGAAGAAGATGAAATGAAAGAAGCCTTGAAAAAAGAGGAAGAAGCTTGAGTTACCATAGTGAGAGCAACTGTGAAGAAGATGAAGTGAGAAACTCAGAATTGAACTCTTTCGTGAATTTGAAGGCTAAAAAGGAAAATTATGATTTTCCTAAAAAAATATTAACCCTAAATATTTTTAACATCTGAGTCGCTCAGTGTCCATATAGTTTTATCCATTTGAACTATGGGTGTATTTAGATGTCGCCTATTTGGCCAACATTTTTTCCTTCGACTATGAGCTTATCCATATTAACACATATGGATTTGGATATGGGTTATCAATGGACATCTACGCCCATTTGACACCCCTACTTAATATACAAGTCAAACCCATATACCTAGTAGTAACTGAACCCATATACCTGGTGGTAATCGGCTAAACCTAGTTTTTCAAAGAATATATTCAAATCCCCGAAAATGGGATGTATTCTAAACTCTACTAAAATCTTTATAAAATTTCTTTGATAAGGTCAATTATCTTCAAATTATGATGCCACAACAGAGGAGATTACGGCGTTAAAGAAACTGTCTGACGCTCTTAAGGCGGAATAGATATTCTGGAGGCAGAAGTGTAGGTTTTTTTGGTTACGGGAAGAAGATAGAAATACTAAATTCTTCCACGCACTTAAGAAACGGAGAAGAGCGAAGAACATGATTACTCAATTACTAGATGCGGAAGGAAATGTTGTAGAAGTACGAAGGACTTGTAGCCATTGCTACAAGTTATTTCAGACAAATCTTCCAATCATCGAACCCTGAGGATATAGAGGAAGCACTATCTGAGATTGCTACAACCATTTCAGCAGCAGATAATGAGAATCTCACAGCTCCGGTCACTAAATAGAAGGTTAAATTGGCTTTTTTGCAATGCATCCAGAGAAAGCACCAGGGCCAGATGGAATGACAACACTATTCTGCCAGAAATTTTCGGATATTGTAAAGGAGGATCTAACTCATATGGTTAATCAATTCATGTTTGAAGGCACAATACCTATTGGTTTAAACAATACCAACATATGCCTCATTCTGAAAGTAGATAAGCCGAATTAATCAGATGAGTCAACTATGACCCATAGGTTTATGTAACGCTACTTATAAAATTATCTCTAAGGTCTTATGCCAGAGACGAAAAAAGGTTATTCCAGATCGGATTTCAGAAACCCAGTGAGCCTTTGTTGCTGGAAGACAGATAGCTTACAACATTATGATTGTCCAGGAAATGTTCCATGCTCTGAGAACCAAACCGAGTGGACATAACAAGAAAATGGCCATTAAAACGGATATGAGCAAGGCGCACGGTAGAATGGAGTGGTCCTTCATCAAGGCTCCCATGAGGAAGATGAACTTTTCAGAAATCTAGATAACATGGATAATGCGTTGCGTAACATCAGTGAAGTACAAGGTTCTTATGAATGGCCCGCCAAGAGGGAATATTGTTCCGGAGAGAGGTCTAAGACAGGGGGATTCTCTGTCCCCTTTCATTTTTATTCTATGCACAGAAGCGCTCGTTATCCTTCTAAATCACGCAGAGAATCAAGGGAAGATAACGGGGATGCGCATTACGCGTGCGTGTCCTTTGGTATCACACTTTCTCTTTGCTGATGATAGCCCATTCTTTTGCAAGGCGGAGCCCCGTGAATGTGAAGAAGTAATGAGAGTGATCAAAAAATATGGATAAGCTTCAGGAAAATACATCAATTTTGATAAATCATCTATACTCTTTGGTAAGATAATCGGACTAGGTGTTAGGCAAGAGATTAAAGACACACTTGGGATTCAGAATGAAGGAGGGATGGGGACATATTTAGGTATCCTTGAGGATATTAGTGGATCAAAATGCAAGCTTTTTGCATTCTTAAAAGATAAGCTAAGGAATAGAGTAAATGGATGGACGGGGAGGTGGCTATCAAAAGGTGGCAAGGAAGTTATGATAAAGTCGATCATGTTAGCACTCCCAACTTATGTGATGTCTTGCTTTCTACTTCCCTTGGAGATTTATGATGCTTTACCTAGTGTCATTGCACAGTTCTGGTGGAGTTCGAACCCCCCAAAGAGGGGCATACACTGTTCAGCATGGGAGAAACTATGCTTATCTAAAGAGGAAGGAGGAATTGGGTTCAGAATGATTCATGAGTTTAATCTAGCATTGTTAGCAAAGCATTTATGGAGACTGGTTCAATACCCAGATTCTTTGGTAGCTCGAGTCTTGAGAGGCCGGTATTATCGAATGAGCTCGTCTTTGCGTCAGTTTGCTGTCAGTAGCCCATCGTATGTGTGGACAAGTATATCGGCGGCACGAGAATTATTATTGCTGGGAGTGAGACAGAAAATACATTCGGGATATGAGGTGAGAGTATGGGAGGATCCTTGGATTCCTACCATTCCAGCGAGAGCAGCGTCCCCATTTGCACTGGTATTGCACCCGAACATGAGAGTAAGTGACCTTATTGACCACGAAACTAAGTCTTGGGATCTGGGCCGGCTGGCGAACTACGTAGATGATGTTGATATACCACTTATAAGGAGTATGACCATTACCACAACACATCGCAGGGACAATTATTGCTGGAGCAACACTAGAAATGGACAGTGACAGTCAAATCTGGGTATTGGGTTGCACATAATATATTGATGAATGAGGAGGAAAGTGTAGTTTGTGAACCTAGTTTCACAAAACTGCAAGCACATGCTTGGAAGGTCAAGGCATCCCAAAAGATGTGTCATCTTTTGTGGCAAATAATAATAGGCCATATGGCTGTTACAAGTACTTTGAACTATAGACACTTGCGATGTGATAACCACTGTCCAAGATGTGGGGAATCGGAAGAATCAGTAACTCACGCAATATTTCAATGTCCACCTGCAATGCAAGTTTAGGCCTTATCATCTACGCCTACTAACCCTTCCTTGTTTCCACTATAGAGTACGTATGCAAATATGGACTATCTCTTCTGGAAAAAAATGCCATAATGAAACCGGAAATGGACAGGGATCCTTATCCCTGGCTAATATGGTATATTTGGAAGGTTCAGAACCATAAGCTGTTTAGAGGAATCGATAGAGATCCTTTGGAGTTAGCTCGATATGCAGAGGGTGAGTGTCAGGCCTGGTTCCAAGCCAATGAGCAGACTATATCTCCATCCCAAGGAAGTATAGATGTTGAAAGCCAAGCCATAAGTCTGGGAAATATTTGTATGCTAGATAGCTCTTGGATCTCTACAGCTTAGTTCAGTGATGTGGCTGGGTATGGAATGACAGTATGGAGAATAGTCAGTTAATGGGGTTGCGTAATTTCGATAGAGTTGAGTCTGCTTTACACTCTGAGCTGGACGCACTGCGGTGGGCAATGGAGAATATGCTTCAACATTCGTCATGTCAGAGCTTTGGGACAGACTGCAAAGATATGATATCGATGCTCAGAAATTCTCATGAATGGTCAAGCTTCTCAACGGAATTGGAAAAGCTCATGGCGCTACGGAACTGCTTCTCAGATTTTATGATCTTTTATGTTCATAGGACATAAAATGATGTTTCTGATTCCTTAGCTAAAACTGCTCGATTTTTCTATCGAAAATTTTTGTTTGTTGATTGTTCTATTCTGGTCTTGATTTCCAAACCAATAGATTAGTCTTTTGATGCCAAAAAAAACTTCTTTGACAAGATCTATTTTCTTCAGCTGATTCTCCAATGGCTTTGCTCTCTAAATAATTTCCAATTGACTCCAGCTTAGCTATTGATTCAGTTTTCAAGTCGTGGATTTTACTATATCTCGATCATTCTAAAGATGTCAATCTGATCTTTATATTTTTAGAAAAAGGTTTAATCTCAACCTCCAAACTATGCGATCAAAACCTGGCCAAAAATCAACCAACCAAAACTAAAACTAAATATAATCATTTTTTATACTTTTATAACTTTTTGGTTTCAAGGGGTGACTATCAAAACATATACAACGGAATAAAATAAATAGATCTATCAACATGAATAAAAAGTTAAAAAGAAAAGAAATAAATAAATTTAGAAGAATAAATATAATTTATATAATGAATATTTAGAGGAAGATGTTTTTAAATTAATAAAATAAATTATTTTCAAGTGTTTTTAAAAATATATATAATAAAATAATTTAATATCAAAAGTTAAATTAAACTTCTTTTCAATTTATACAAGAAAAAATTGTTTTGTATTAGAACATTGAACTCAAAAAAAATGTTAGAGAAAAATATGTGAAAATTAAGGTTAACTTTATTTAAAGGGATTATATTAATATTATATTATATCCTTAGTTTAGTTATTCATTAAGAGATAAGATTACTATGATTTATTCACTCTAAATTTTACTACGAGAGGTAAAAAACCCAAAAAAAAAAAAAAAAATTAATTCACATATAATAATAAAATTTTGTAGAAATATAACGGAAAATCAATTTAGGGGAGAAATATCTATTGTGATAAAAAAAAACAAAAGAGTAGAGGTTTTAGAGAGGTTTGTTGGAGTGTTCCCTTCACAAATTTTCTTCTCTCTTCTTCAAATGTTCATAAGACCTTATCTTCTATCTTCCTCCTCCTCCTCCTTCCATGGCTTCCGCCGCTGCGCCCTCTCCTTCTCTCTCCTTAAACCAAACTTCCCTCGTCACCTGGCTTAAACCTCCTCCTTCCTCCTCCTCCCCCCTCTTCCGCCTCAAACCCACCAAACGCATCTTCCTCCCGATTTCAGCATCTTCCTCCTCTTCCACCTCTCTCACCGTCATCGATAAAGGAGCCACCTTTGTCGATAATCCCGTCGAAAGGAACGAACTTTCCAGGCCGAGGAGGCTCTTCATGCAAGACCCACCATGGATCTCTGCTCTCTTCCTCAAGGGTCTGACCAAAATGGTTGACCAGACCGTTAAAATCGAGAGGAAAGACATCGACAAGAGAAAGTTCGACTCTTTGAGGAGGCGGCAGGTGAAGGAAGAGACGGAGGCGTGGGAGAAGATGGTTGATGAGTACAGAGATTTGGAGAAGGAGATGTGTGAGAAGAATCTAGCTCCAAACTTGCCTTATGTGAAACATATGTTTTTGGGTTGGTTTCAGCCGTTGAAAGATGTGATTGAGAGGGAGCAGAGGCTGCAGAAGAACAAGAGCAAGAAGGTTAGGGCGGCTTATGCGCCTCACATTGAGCTCTTGCCTGCTGATAAAATGGCGGTTATTGTGATGCATAAGATGATGGGTTTGGTTATGTCTGGACATGAAGATGGGTGTATCCAAGTTGTTCAGGCTGCTGTTAGTATTGGCATAGCGATAGAACATGAGGTATGAATTAGGACGAGTTTAATGGAGAAGTAAGCTATAGTTATGTAATTATGAGTGGTGGTTTTGGTTGGTTTTTAGGTGAGGATTCATAACTTCTTGAAGAGAACTCGGAAGAACAATGGAGGAGACTCACAGGAGGATTTGAAGGATAAGCAATTGCTTAGGAAACGTGTCAATAGTTTGATTCGTAAGAAAAGGATTATTGATGCACTGAAAGTGGTGAAAAGTGAAGGTACCAAACCATGGGGCCGAGCTACACAAGCTAAGGTATCCCTATTAAGTGGAACTCATTTGCTTTTGGTAGTTTAAAAAAAAAAAAAAACATCTTCATTGTTGGACTCATATCATTTTTTTTCAGCTTGGAAGCCGTCTGCTAGAACTATTGATTGAAACAGCTTATGTGCAACCTCCACTGACACAGTCAGGAGACTCTATACCCGAGTTTCGACCTGCATTCAGACACAAATTTAAAACCGTTACCAAATATCCTGGGTAATGCATATTCTCATCGTACATATTTCAAGAAAGCTGTTTCTTTAAAGAAAATCTCAATAAGTTTGTTTATCTTTGGAAAATTTTGGACTTTGTAGATCAAAGCTGGTGAGGAGATACGGAGTTATTGAGTGTGACTCACTCCTCCTTGCAGGCCTAGATAAATCTGTGAGTTAAGATGTCTCTTTGAATTAAAGCTAATTATGCCATTTATGATCTGTTAGATGATCTTTCATTGTTCTTGTCTCATGCAGGCTAAGCATATGTTAATTCCCTATGTTCCAATGTTGGTACCACCAAAGAGATGGAGAGGGTATGGTTTGATCAACTCTTTTTCCTTTGGCTCTACATTTTATTCCCTTACATATGAAAATCTCATGCTCGCACGTTATTTATAGTTATGTGTTCTCGTTCTTACTTAATTAAGTTTCCTTTCAGATATGACAAGGGTGGTTACTTGTTTCTGCCTTCCTACATTATGCGTACTCATGGATCCAAAAAGCAGCAGGATGCACTTAAAGATATTACTTCCAAGACTGCTCATAGAGTATTTGAGGTACATTGGTATATTTGTTCTTATATTTTTGCTGTTTCTTTCTGGTAGTGTTTTACATAAATGTTCTGAAACGTTACTTGAACAGGCATTAGATACACTTGGGAACACCAAGTGGAGGGTTAATAGGAAAATACTTGATGTGGTTGAAAGGCTCTGGGCTGATGGAGGCAACATTGCAGGCTTAGTTAATCGGGACGACGTAAGTAAACGAAATTCTTATTCTGGACTTAACTTTTCAGGGTTTCATTTAAAGAGTCAGCTCTCTAAAAAGTTATACGTTCCACAGGTATGTGTCTGATGGTGTCTGTATTCTATTTTTGGTTTGCTGTTTAGGTTCCCTTACCAGAGAAACCTTCCTCGGAGGATCCAGAAGAAATTCAAGCCTGGAAATGGAGTGTACGTAAGGCCAAGAAGACTAACAGAGAGAGGCACTCTCTAAGATGTGATGTTGAGCTCAAGCTTTCTGTAAGAAATTCATTCTTATTCACTGCCATAATTTTGTTCTGTCTTCACATGCTAGCGAAGATATGGACTGACGATTATAAGTTCAGGTGGCTAGAAAAATGAAAGACGAGGAAGGATTCTTTTACCCTCACAATCTTGACTTCAGGGGACGTGCATATCCAATGCATCCTCATCTAAATCATCTGAGTTCTGATCTTTGCCGTGGAACCCTGGAGTTCGCTGAAGGAAGACCACTTGGAAAGTCAGGCTTGTATTGGCTGAAAATACATTTAGCAAACCTCTATGCAGGGGGTGTTGAAAAGCTTTCACACGATGGGCGTCTGGCTTTTGTGGAAAACCATTTGGATGATATAATGGATTCAGCTGAAAATCCTACTCATGGGAAACGATGGTGGCTGAAGGCTGAGGATCCTTTTCAGTGTTTAGCTGCTTGTGTTATTCTAACACAAGCCTTGAAAAGTCCTTCACCTTATTCTGTAATCTCCCACTTGCCTATACATCAAGTAAGCACCGAAAATTTAGATTTAAAGTAGGTCCAATGTTTATGTGTTTTGTTACTATACACATTAGATTGTTTGCTTTGAACTGTGAGACAACTCGAGTGACGTTTCTATTCATTTGCTAGCTCCTAAGCTACTTGGTTTTTTCTTAAATCATTTGTTATGTGCAGGATGGGTCATGCAATGGTCTACAGCATTATGCAGCTTTGGGCAGAGATAGTGTAAGTTCTCTCGTGAACATTTATAATCTGCTTTTTGTCTTGTATAAAGTCAGATGCAGTCTTATATTGTAAACTGGGTTACTCTCAGTTTGAAGCTGCGGCAGTTAATCTAGTTGCGGGAGACAAACCAGCTGATGTCTATTCTGAAATTTCATTGAGGTGATCATATCAGTGATGCTGTCAAATACATTTATCGAGTTAGAATCATGCCGTGCGTTGTTTTCTGATGGTTTTCCTCTTTGCCGCTCTTTCTTTTCTTCTTCGCTTTGTGCTGAAGGGTCCATGAAATAATGAAGAAGGACAGTAATAAGGATCCTGAGTCGAACCCAACCGCTGCATTGGCAAAGATTCTTATCAATCAAGTGAGTCTCAGTGGTTGTCGATCTATATATATAAAAAGTCACAGCTAAAGTTCTTTCCGATGATGATGATAAGTTTTCTTTTTAATTTCAGGTCGACAGGAAGTTGGTAAAGCAGACGGTAATGACGTCAGTTTATGGTGTAACATATGTTGGAGCACGTGAACAAATAAAAAGAAGATTAGAAGAGAAGGGTGTTATCACTGACGAGAGAATGTTATTTTCTGCTGCTTGCTATTCAGCTAAAGTATGACTAGTAATAGCATTCAGGCGTATACTTTTTCTTTGTTGTCTAGTTATGCTTATCTTATACTTGGAACATTTCTCTCCAGGTAACACTAGCTGCCCTTGGAGAGATATTTGAAGCGGCACGTGCCATTATGAGTTGGCTCGGTGATTGTGCAAAGGTGCAGTCTTGTTGTATCTTGTTATTAACTATGCTCTTTTTACGTCTTGGTAGATGAGAGACCTAATAGCTAGAGATGTGTTTTTGTTTTTGGCTTGTCAACTTTACAGATAATAGCTTCCGATAATCATCCAGTGCGATGGACAACACCTCTAGGACTTCCTGTTGTGCAACCTTATTGCAGAAGTGAAAGACATCTGGTAAGTATTATCCATTCAAAATCTTTAAGAGTAAGGTATCATCATCCCGCTGGTGGGAGCCAATAATTTTGAGTAATGATTTATTAATATGGCCACTATGGTTGCAGATAAGAACATCTCTTCAGGTTTTGGCTCTGCAGCGAGAGGGTAACACGGTAAAAGCCTATTTGTTCCTTTTCTTGATGAACACAGAGCAAGATTCCAGTTGTATGATCTGTTTAGGCTAAAAAGCTCTTTTTAAATTCTCAGGTGGATGTTAGGAAACAAAGAACTGCGTTTCCTCCCAACTTTGTGCACTCGCTGGACGGCACTCACATGATGATGACTGCTGTTGCATGTCGAGATGCTGGCCTAAACTTTGCAGGTTAGCAGTCGTTTTTAATTCAACTTATGGCTGGCTAACAAAAAAAAAGAGCTGGAATTTCATCTTATTTAGTTTTTGGGTTTTGCAGGTGTGCATGACTCCTACTGGACGCATGCATGTGATGTTGACACAATGAACAGAATACTTAGAGAGAAATTCGTTGAGCTTTACAGTACACCAATCCTTGAAGATGTAAGTCACTGATAACTCTCCTGGTTAGATAGAAGCACATCTGCCAAAGTAAATGAATGTGCTAGATCTTAAAATAAGGCAATGTTCAGATCGTTAGTGAAGTCTTTCGAGCTTGACTGAACAAAATGATGATTATGGATTCCAACTTAATTATCAGTAAACAACGCTTTTTTATGGAATATTAACACTAATGATGATGATGATCTCTATAGTTGGTTCTTCTTTCTACAATTTTGATGAAGAATATTGTTAAGAAGTTTGGTGTTCTTTGCTGACTGTTTTGTATTCTTGATCCAGTTACTCCAAAGTTTCCAAGAGTCATACCCGAATCTCGTGTTTCCTCCGGTACCAAAGAGAGGTGATTTCGATTTAAAGGAAGTGCTCAAATCACACTACTTCTTCAACTGAGTCACTGGAAGGAGGAGCAAGTTTTAACTTGGGGGATCTCTCTTGGTGGCCTGTAAATAACATCCACCACCTCTTTGGACATGGAACGAATCAGCACGATAGACTGCTCGGCAACACACTAAGATTCGGACACAAATCTACTCAAAGACAAAGTTTTGCATCATTGAAGAAGTTTCTAGGTCAGCAGGTAGGTCTAGGCAGTATTAAATAATGGATGCATCAAGGTTGTGTTGTGGAATGAGGGAATAGGTTTAGTTATGTTGTATGTCATTCGGACTTTTGTACAGGAGAGAGACCTTCGTATAGAAACAAGACTCAAGAAACAGAAGGGTACTCTGTGATTTTGTAGCCAACTCTTTTTGTCAAAAAAACGAGACATCTTTTAGAACTCATAAGCTTAATGGATCAGTTATGTTATGTAGTAGTTGTGTGATACATCACAACTTGAAATCGCCTAACCCTAAGCACGCAAGTGTAGAACCTGCTATACAAACTACATTGTGGATATTGCAGAGCTCTAGTAAGCTATAGTTTTAGTTTTTGTGGTTAGCTGCAATCATAGAAAATGCTATAAGTCGGTTCAAACGGCATTAAATCTCTAAAATTCAAAAACTGTTTCAGCTAACATTTGCGGAAAAAAAAAATTAAAAAATTATATAAATAAAAACTATTCAATTAAAATAATAGAAATATCAAAAGATATTTAATTTTAATTTATATTATAAAACTTCAAAATAAAAATATCTCTATAATTTTTTAAAAAAATTAATTGTATAATTTTATGAAAATAATTTAATATTTATTATAAAAATAGGGATATGGTTTAATATTTTGATAATTATATAAAATGTAAATATTATCCCCTATATATTAAAAGAGAATCATTTTAAAATTTGTAACCTTAAGTTTTTAATAACTAAAAATAACTTCAATCCCATGTGGCATAGCTCTTTGTCTTTTATTTCAATTTAGAAGGATTCTAGAGTATGTAATATAATATATAGTCTTAAAATTATACTCTCTAGCAATATAATATTTCGTAGGCTATAGTTGATCGCATATATCAAATATTTATTGTTTCGCATGCTTTCCTTAAATAAATCCTACGGAATTACCTAATGTGATTAAAATATATATATATATATATATATATATATATATATATATATATATATATATATATATATATATATATATTTATATATTTATATATATATATATGATAATTAATGGTTTTAAACAATAAAGATTTGACAATAATCTGTATATTTTTTTCTCATTTTGTTTATTTCTTTATTATTAAAATAAATTACACAATTACATTAATCATATAATAAAAATTTAGATTTTTTTGTGTGTATATTGTATTTCGAATTTTTTGAAATGAGTATAAATTACTAAAACTGTTAAAACTCTCACATAAACTTTTAGGATTAAGGTTTTAACTTTTTTATTAAAATATAATGATTATAAGACCAAATAAGTTTAGTTTATATATATTTCATATCGTTTTAATTAAGCTATACATCGTATGAAAATACATACTTATATTTTGATTTCTGCGTTGAACATATATTGAAAAGTTAATATTTTGATTTTGAAATATGTCATTGTTTTTTTAAAATGATTATAAATTATTGAAACTACTAAACATCTCACATTAAAAAAAATTCGTTGGTGTAAAGTTTTGTTACACAAATATGCAAATAATCATAAAATCATATGAGCAGAAACCTCATTTAATAAACATTCATATTAAAAGTGTGCTATATTACTATGTTTATATCATTTAAATTTAATTATACATCATATACAAAATATAAGATTGATTATTTTAATTTATTTACCCTAATTGTGAATAAACAAGAGTGATAGTTAAACTTATATGCATACGCCAATTTATTACATAATAGTAACTAATTTCTTAGTTATTTAATATATATTTATTATTTTATTAATTTATAATATGCATAAAATATAAAATAAATAATACATATAAAATACTTATTGTGCATAAAGTGCACATCTTAACCTAAGTATATATTTAATTATTTTAAATCTTAATTATTTTCTAAATCACAGGTCAAAACAAACAAACGAAATGAGAACAAACTTCAAAATAAATATTTATATTGATTAATAACCACAATAAAAAAAACACAACAACAGAAAAATTGAAGATAAATAGGATTGACACGTGAACGTAAACTTCTCATAACCATAATTAATTTTTAAATTGTTAAATCATGATATAAAACTGAGTTAATTTTTAATTTGTTAATTTTAATTTTTTTAATCTTTTAAATCATTATGGCTATGTTAAATCATGACCATAATTAATTTTAAATTGTTTATTTGTATTTGAAAAACTTAAAATATTGTTTTAAAAAATAATTTAAAATGTAATTTAATCTTTTATAAAATTATTTTTTTTTTTAAATATAATTTGTAAAAAATATAATTTTCTAATATTATTAGACAAATAAATAAATTATATTAAATTAAATTAGTTTTGAAACTTTATATATTTATATGCAAATATTTTATCAACTGCTTCTTAAGAAAGCATTACGGAACTTGCTAATACTCTATCAATCAAACCGAGTGACACTCCGTTTATTTTTGAACACTAAAAAATGAAAAGATATATGAAATTGGGTCCATTAAATTCTAAGGTTTGATCTACAGTTCTAATTACAGTTGTTTATGATCCTACATATAGATAATTTTATAAAAATTTCAAAATTCTAAGATTTCAAATACATATAAATACAATCATATGTAAATTTAAAATTTGTCAATACTAAATTTTATATTTTAATTACATACATTTATCCAGCGCAAGGCGCATGTCTAATGCTAGTTAATTTATTATTTAACTACTACTGCATTTGATAGTTAACTAGTCATCAGTATTTCGCAAACGCAAATTTTTAACTATTGTATCAATAGTCCAAATTTCTTACTAACAATTAAAACTGCAATCTCCGATCTCGTAAACACCCGCCCTAATACCCCTTGGGCTTTGCCATTGGGTATCTCTACTTGTGCGTGTCTTATTATTACATTCGTAGTGTCAACTAGGGGTAGGCGTTCGGTTAGCCATTTGAATTTGTACAGATCTATTTGGTTTTCGAATGGAGATATATATTTTAGTCCTATTTGAGTATTTATAAATTTCAGTTGGCTTCGATTCAAATTTTTGGAGGTATGGTTTGGTTTGAATAACATGTTTAGATTATTTTTAAAAATTTAAATTCTTATATCCTTTTAAATTTCTAAAAATCTAAAAATAAAAATGATATATAACATAAATTGAGTAATTTATACTAAAATACCTAAACGTAACATGAAATTTGGGTTGAGTTGAATATTTTCGATGGAGATGAAGAATCAATATATATTTTACATATTTTTTTATGTTTTGAGTATCTTTTAACTATTTTAGATATTTTGAATATTTGTATATACTTATACAATTTTAATTTAACTTTTAGATATTAAATTTAAAAATAACTAATATATTCAAGTATATAAATTTTATATATGCAAAATATGTATATTCCAATCGAGTTTGGTTCCGGTTATTTAGATATCAAAATTTTGAACGTATTCAAATATTTAGTCAGTTTCGGTTTAGGTTTAGCACTACATTTTGGATCAGAGTCGATCTAGTTTTTGGGATTCGGACATTTATGCCCAAGCCTAGCTCCAACTCCAACGAGTAGCACTCCCGATTTGTTTGCCAAACTAAAAAAAGAACCGACATTCTTTCCAGACTCTTAACTCTGCCTCTTTCAAGTCTAAAAACCTTCATGTCCTCCTTCTAGTGTTCTAGGTCTTCTCGAAGTGAAAGCCTCTGATTTTTCTCTCTACCTTCATCTGGGTATGTGCCTTCTTGCTTATCTTTGCTTCTAGTTCCATTTTGTCACGAAGTCTCTTCTCAAAAACCCTAACTTTAGGGTCATTTCTCAAGTGCTTACTCATCTCTTATGTTCCTTTCCAAAGTTGTTGTTTTTTAATAGTGGGTTATTCTGTGCTGTAGTTGACTGTGTTGTTATTGTTGGGTAATTCCAAGCTTGTGGAAACTTAACATATTATTAGATGTTTAATATGTTAAGAGATAAACACAATAAGGAAATCTAGAAATAGGAAAAAGAAGTTTTCTATTTGATTAGGTTTGTGTTTTCCATATCCCACATGTTCAAGGGAATTATCTTGCATATAAATAGAGATCTATGGAGAGTTGTTCCATAAGATCTAAGAGAGTAGATTAAATGATCTAAGAGAAACATATTGTGAGCTTTAGTTTTGAGTAGTTTCTAAAGCTAATAAGAAAAGTTGTTCTTATAATCCTTTGTGTTTCTAGAGATTTGAATTGGTATCAGAGCGGTTCGACGAAGTTATGGAAGAAGACCAAAATACCCTTCAAGATGGAAAGGGACCCTTCGAGTAGGAAGAGGAAGGTCTGTGGTAGAACTAGTCAGAAGATCATGGAACCTGTGATGTTGTGGGAGAAACATTCTCAAAGGAAACCCTGCGATTCCTGGTACAAGGTGGTGCCAAGAAGATTTGCTGAAGGATAAACACATGCGATGAATGTGGTCCTTAGTTTAAGGGGGAGAATGTGAGATAATAAACAAAGTCCCACATTGGAGAATTAGACAAGGAGTGTCTAATATATAAAGAGAAGTCCAACTCTAATAGTACGAGGCCTTTTGGAAAGGAAACCAAAAGTAAATCCATGCGGGCTTGCCTATTAGGCCCAAAGTGGACAATATCGTACTAATATGAGAATATAGAATTGGACATGGGCTTTCACAATTCCAACAATTGGTCCATAACTTATATGGCCTAGACGAGCATGCCACCTCCACGTAATTTATAAATCCTAATCTCGACATTGATGACTCTGTCTTTATTCATCCTGAAGATGGTAAAGGAGAAAGAGAAGAGATTCGACAGAGCTTTGTCAGTTTTGTGGACAGTGTACTTGCTAGGCAGGGTGATTCTCCGATCAACAACTTCTCCCTGAAGTGTATCACTGGTATCCATCCAGATACTGTTAACCGTTGGATATGTAATGTCCTGAAGCGTGGCGTTTCAGACCTTAACCTTTTCACTGATTTTACCGACGAGGATACAGAAGAAGATAGTTACCAACTGCCTAGAGAGTTGTTCTTTTGTAGCACACTGGTTAAGCTGAAGTTAAGAAGTGAACACTGTGTTGATTGGTGGTGGCATGGTGGAATGATGGGAGAGCCTTTTTTTTCCTTACCATTGCTTAAGAGTCTTAGCATTGACTCTGACTTGATTTTCTGTGGTGAGTTTGAGAAGTTTATTCCTTCTTTCCCTGTGCTTGAAGAGTTACAAATGGCTAACATGGAGTGGCGAGAGTCCGATGTAACGGTGCCAAGTGCAACCCTCAGAACGCTAAGTCTCCATGCCACTGGCTGTGAAGATTTTGAGAATCCATTTGAGAATCCAACGAGAGTTTCTTTTGATACTCCAAACCTGCTTGTATTAAGCTACTTTGACTTAGTTGCGCAAGACTATCCGTTAGTCAATATGAAGAAGTTAGATCATGCTGAGATCAATCTTATAGTAACTGATAAACAGGTTAAGCGACTAAGAGAGGCAAACTTTGAGTTGTTAGAAGATGATGATGAAGGTAATGTTGTTGTCCACTTTGGTAATGTGGTGAAGCTTATGAATGGAATACAAAATGTTCAGAGGCTCTCCTTCACTGCTGATACTCTTGAGGTCAGTTTTCTTGTCTTTTAAGTTCTCTGGTCTAGTACTTTTGAAACATTTGTTGCAAATTTTCTTTGTTTTCAGGTGCTTTCTCAATGCTGTAATACATTGCCAGTGTTCAACAACCTCAAGTTCTTAGGTATTTCGGGTAAAGAGGATCGAGGATGGCAAGCAATGCCAGCTCTTCTAAAGAACTGTCCACGTTTAGAAACTATAATCCTTGAGGTAGAATTATAAACATGAAGTTACATGTGTACTGTTGAAGAAGCAGTTTTTTCATGTCTTCTTTGTATGTTTTCAGGGTTTGTTGCACTATGTAACAGATAAATGTGGGTTTATATATTCATGATGTCTATCCGTATGAAGTGGAATGGAATTATAGATTTGATTGTTAAACATTTCTATTTGTTATCTATATATTTATGTTGTGTTTTACATAAAAAATAATTTCTATATACAATATGATAGCTCCCTCCGTACTCACTATTTTTTACTCGTATTTTTGGTTCTCAGGTCTGACATGGACGACTTAGGCTTTTCAAGTAGATTGTTTGACACAGGGTTTGAACCCATTGGCAAGAATATGATCAACAACTAGATTACCAAGCATATTGTTCCTTTTGTTTAGTGATTCACTAGATTAGCTGTGCAGAGTGAAATTATATTTACTAACCCTAACCATTTACGTGGCTTCCTCCCCTTCTTTTATATGGAATAGTTGTTTCCCAGTATTTGATATTAATTCCATGGAGAGTCATATATGTTCCCCGACGTCATCATGATTGTAGATAGTTACTCTACTATCTACTAATCCAACTATTAAAAGGAATATAATTTGATATTGTAAACAAAAAAAGTATGGAATAGATGGAACGATATAGCATGTCACATGTAACATAGTGGATAATATACTCATTTGTATGGAATAGTTAAACAATGGAATGGAATTAATAACCAATGGATTGGGGTTTATATTTTTTATTTTTTGTTTAGAGTTTAGCGTCCATACCCTTTTAATTGACAATTTATGGGGTTTATACGAACGTATGAGATTAAGTTGAGAAAATGAAAAAGATATCATAAGGAAGGGGTTAATCGGCAATGGATTGGGGTTTATATTTTCTTAATATTTGTTTAGTGATTAGCTGTATATTTTCTTAATACTTGTTTACTGTATAGCGTCGATAGCATTTTAAATGCGGTTTATCTTTTGTTAGCATTTTAACATAATAAATGGGTTAATCGTCAAAGTATTAGGGTTTATATTTTCTTAATTTTTGTTTAGCGTTTAGCGTCTATACCCCAATGGGGTTTATAAGAAAGTATGAGATTAAGGTGAGCAACTGGAAAAGATTATCATAAGGAAGGGGCTAATTGGCAATGGATGGGGGTTTATATTTTCTTAATATTTGTTTTCTGATTAGGGTCCATAGCATTTTATATGCGGTTTATATTTTGTTAGCATTTTAACATAAGAAAGGGGATAATCGCCAAAGTATTAGGGTTTATATTTTCTTAATTTTGTTTAGTGTTTATCCTCCATACCCTTTTAATTGACAATTTATGGGGTTTATACGAAAGTATGAGATTAAGGTGAGAAAATGAAAAAGATTATCATAAGCAAGGGGTTAATCAGCAATGGATTGGAGTTTATACTTTCTTAATATTTGTTTTCTGATTAGCGTCCATAGCATTTTATATGCGGTTTATATTTTGTTAGCATTTTAACATAAGAAAGGGGATAATCGCCAAAGTATTAGGGTTTATATTTTCTTAATTTTGTTTAGTGTTTATCCTCCATACCCTTTTAATTGACAATTTATGGGGTTTATACGAAAGAATGAGATTAAGGTGAGAAAATGAAAAAGATTATCATAAGGAAGGGGTTAATCGGCAATGGATTGGGGTTTATATTTTCTTAATATTTGTTTAGTGATTAGTGCCCGATTTTCGTGTTTATATTTACTAGTGTTTATATTTTCTTAATTGTTGTTATTTATGTTCGTAATTGTCTTTTAAATTTAAATTTATGGGGTTTATACAAAAAATAAATGGGGCACTAAAACAAAGAGTTTAAGGTGAGAAAAATAAATAGATTAACCTAATTCTTAACCCACCTACTAATTCTGTATGTGTTAAGCCTACTTAATTGATAACGGAATGGAACATATGAATATAAAAACGGAATGGAAGGGATGAACTATTTAGAATGGAACAAAAATAGTTATCATGTACCTCTATGTGATTCATACGTCTGCTGCTTTAACTCACCTACAGTTAAAGAACACGTCATTTAGTTTTATACCATGTAACTGGATACCTGCTAGTGGAAAGGATAATACCGGATGAAAGAGAGGCTAAATGTCAAATATTACATTAAGTCAACATCAATGTTATATACTTAATATAGATGCCAGATTTAGCTACTGAGCTAATAAGCCCTAGAATATATATAAATAAAAGATTAAATTAATTCATACCGAACACGTATAAAACACTAATATTTTAATAATTTAATATTAGAGTGAGTTATAAATTATACACATCTTGTTAAATAAATAATTCATATTTTTAATAGCAACGCGCGAGTAATCTTATTTTGGTTGTCCAATTGGAGGAAGCAAGAAAAAAAAAATCTAAAGTTTAGCTTGAAGGAATGAGTTGACTTTTTGTATCAGCAAACACAAATTGAAGAAGGGAGCTTTGGTTCTTTGTCTTCGATCCTTCAAGTCTTGAAGTGATGAAGTTCGAAGTTTTCGTGAGTTTCAGAGAAATCGACACCCGAAGAACTTTTGTGAGCCATCTTTTGCTTTCACTGTTTAAAAATCAGATTAGGACTTTCAAGCAAGAAGAAGAGATACCATGGAATCAACCAGCTTCCTCTCAAGTTCTTGAGGCAATCCAAGATTGCAAAATGGCCATTGTAGTCATATCAAAGAACTATACTGCTTCCGTCTCGTGCTTAGACCAACTGGCCAAGATAGTTGAGTGCAAGGAGAAACAGACGTTAGTGATGATACCCGTCTTATACGAAGTGGATCCTTCTCATGTTTTAACTCAAGCAGAAAATCTTTGGGAGCATAGCGGTGGAGAGGAGAAGGTGATGAGATGGAGAGATGCACTGAACGAATCGATCAAGATTTATCTTGAAAAGCATGCATACTGGTATTATTTTAGTTTATTTCAAGATAGGCTTGAGTTGACAAAACTCCTGATCTCTTACTTCTTTTATTTTATTTTGACATATATGTTGCTCATAGGGAAGATAAAGACTCGTACTCGTACATTATTGATAGAGTCATGTCCCACGTTCTTGATCGTTTGAGACCACAGGAAATGAAGAAACCAGAAGAGCGTAAAAAAGAAGTGTATCGTAAATTCAAAATGTCTAGATTTATCCTCCTAATTCCCATAGGGATAGTTACCATGGGGGTCGGGCTTGTTAAATCTGCTCTGGGAATATTCATGCCGGGTAAAGAGAAGCCTATTGTTATCAAACTTAGGCCTACAAGAAGCTCTGTGTACGTATACAAAGACGAGTATGTTACTGATGACGAGTTGTCCCAGTTAGTTCCATCAAGTGATTTCAGTTGCCTTGTTGGGATGGACCGTCAAATAAAAGCAGTGGACGCATTGCTGCTTGGTTTGGATTCGAAACAAGTCGGAGAAATTGGTATTTGGGGTGTGGAAGGAGTGGGCAAAACCACCCTCGCGAGATTTGTTTATCAACAGATCTCACCACAGTTTCAAGATCACTGCTACTTTGAGATTGATTCCCAAGACAATTCTGTCTATCCAACGTGTTTACTAGAGGAAGTAACAAGATCTGCTCTAACGTCAGGGTCAGAGAGATTGTATGAATCTGTGAAGGCGGAGTTTGGACACCGAAAGGTTTTGCTCGTTGTTGATGTTCTGAATCGTACTGGCGACCTCAAAAACATCAGAAAGATTACCCGTTGGTTTGGTCCTGAGAGTAGACTGATCGTTGTCACAGAGCAAAATGATGTGCTTGTTCAGTGCGAAGTCAGACGCGTCTTTGAAGTTGAGCCTTTGAGATATGATGAAGCTCTTCAACTCTTTTCCCAATTTGCCTTCAAACAAGAACACGTTCCTAGAGAGTACCATCGGCTCTCTGTTCGTGCTGTCTTACTTACAGGTCGTATTCCATTGGCCCTTAAAGTATTTGGCTCCTTCTTACGCGGGAAGGTCATTAATGAATGGGAACTTGAGTTGTGTAGACTTGAAGCATCACAGGACAGCTGCGTTGCAAAAGTTTCTGGTTACATCGGAAATGGTTTCTCCTGAAGACATGTCAAATCTGTTGTGAACTAACGCGAATCAACTCGCAGAAACCAAAAGAGAGCAAAACGAATTGAGTCAAATACCCGTTTAGGGTTTGTATATTATTATGTGAATAAATAACTTTACAATCTCTTAGATCCATATATATAGCAGTTCAAAACCTGATTTTTTTTTCCTATAGGAATATTTTTCTAAACCTAAAAGACAAACCATATTTGAAAACAAATAGAGCATTGATAAGGGGTTTCTCACTGTTTCATCGGGTGTTCTACAGTTCAGAATTGATCAATGATTTTTTAGAGTGGGCTTTACATAAACTAACCCCTCTAACACAAACTTTGACTAAAGTAAAACAGATAATGAAACTAAACAGCTAACATGGAATGGATAGAGTCGGATGTAACTGTGTCAACTCAAGTACAACCCTGAGAACACGCCACCGGCTGTGAAGATTTTGTGAACTCAATGAGGGTTTCTTTTGATACTCCGAACCTGCTTGTCTTAAGCTACTATGACTTAGTTGCCCAAGACTATCCGTTAGTCAATATGAAGAAGTTAAATCATGCTGTAATCAATCTTGTAGTAACTGATAAACTACAACGTGTGCTGTTGAAGTAGCAGTTTTTTTTCATGTCCTGGTTCTCCTTTATATGCTTTCAGGGTTTATCACACTATGTAACAGATAAATGTGGGGATGCTTGTCTCTGCATATCTCGGGAAGAGAAAGGTTGTTCACTCAAGTCTTGTCCAGTGAATGGGATGGAGATTCAAGGGTTTCGAGCAACGATGAAAGAGCTGACCATGATAAAGCATTTCTTGGACTATTTTCCAAGTTTGAAGAGGCTTGACGTGATCATTGAAGATAATGAACCTACACAGCTCAGAAACACTGAATTGTCTAAATTTGTCAAGGAGATGTTCGAACTCTACAACAAGTTGTACCCGAGTTGCAATGTCGAGCTCATGGTGAGTCCTTTCTTGCAAAAGAAGTGGCGTGCACAAGGACATATCTGAAAGAACAGAACTTTGCTTGCTTTTTGTTTTTGCCTTATTTGACTTGGCCTGTTTAGTAATTTTTTTTTTTTTTTGCTAACTGTCGCAAACCAAACCAATCACTAAACACGTGGAGCAACTTGTTCTTAGTTATTGTAGAACATTACAGAGCTTGTTACAGTTTGGTAGTAATATGTTTTATACAAAAAAATGGCTTTACAAAAACGCCATTATAAACACTTTCTTCTTTACATGGATTCATCACCAAACACATGTTCCTACAAATCAACACTTTACAAACAAGAGCACAAGTTCAATTGGTTTTTACCCAAAGAGAGAAATTAATATACAGCTACTTGTTCAAGATTCCTAGACTTGTTGTCAAATGAAGAACATACATTATTTGCCGCTCGCTATGCATCACTGCCTTCTTCTGCAATGTTGAACAAGAACTTTGGTAGGGATGTGATCCTAGGAAGGTGTGCTAACAGATCACTGAATGAATCTTTCCTTGACATTCCTTGTTGTGGCTTGCTGCTTGAAGCATGATCAAGAACTTTATTACTTTCTTCAGTTTTGTTGAGTCTCTTATTGTTGTTATCTACCCCAATCTCTTTCCCGTCATTGGCAGCTGTCTGCAAGAGGTTGTAGAAAGAGTTCACTTTTGACATTACAGACTTCTCATCCGATGTCTCGGTCTGCGTGTCACTCAGTAGCAACTGTTTCATGTCCTCGAATTCAGGGTTGTTCTCACAGATAGCTTGATCTGATAGGAGTGAGAGAAAATCGTTCATCGAGATAGATTGGTGTAGTCCAGGGACTTGTATCTGATTCCAGTTTCTTGAATCATCAGAAGCACCAACTCCTCCTTCGATTGCACGAGCATCCATCACTGAGTTAAAGAAGAAACATTATAAGGACCTAAAAGAACAAGAAAGGCCAATGTGAAAGATAGTTTGTATATACCTGAGCTAGGCGACAGTGCGTCATGAGACAGAGACATATGTTCTGATGAAGACTGAGCCCCAACAGGAGATGATGCAATATTCTGAGACCCAGACACGGAAGGATCCTCGAATATAGATTGTCGTGTATCAAAGAAGAGCGAGTCAAAATTTATCTCAGGCTGTCTGCTTAGACAGAACAAGCGATGATCACACTGGAGAAGCTTCTCTATATGCTTGTTCAATATCCCCGGGGGACACTGCAGAAAATGTTGCCTACCATATAGACAACACTGTCGATTAGAGATATTCAATTACATTGTTGGACAAAGACACAACAGACATGTTTCTTTACCTGTTCATGCTGGCTTGACCATCAGTAAAATCTGATGTTGCCTGCCACAAAGTATGCTTCCTAGGCTGTGGATTAGTCTCCCTGAAAAACAAGGGCCGCCTAGCAAGCTGAAACAGATAAGAAACCAATTCAAAAACCACGGTAAAATAAGGCTTTTACGAATGAAATGATCCACGAGAATGCATTTTTTTATACCACAATGGTTAACGTTCCAGGCTCATCTTCAGGAAAATCCGCCTTCAACCCCATGATATCTGACCACTGTATCTCGACCTTGCTCTTAAGTCCTTGTTCCAACACTTCCCACACAAGTTTGTGTTTCGCAAAGTAACATTTGGCAACCAAATCACCTTCATACCTCGATTTATACTAACAAAACAAGAACTTAGATTCCATAAAAACACGAAGGCAAAAAAAAGAACATGTTCTTTTAAAGGACTCACCTCCCATTGGCCAATCCTCAGAAGGGTGGCGGGAAAGTTTGAAGCTTTGAGCTTCTCAACGGTTCCGACAAGGGAAGGAGCTTCTTTCTTAACAGTTTGAGAGAGTCTCATCTGAATGAGATCTTGCAAAGACGGGCTCTTTCTTAGGCTCAGTCCCAAAGGACTTGGCTCATCAAGAGACACGCTTGTTCCATTGCTCCAAACCTGATTCGTTTAAAAAAAAAAAACAAATCCAATCAAGACAAAAGACTTATGGTCAAAATGTAATAAGTAGCTTAGAAACAAACCTTAGATCGCTTGTTAGCAGGACCGTTCTCTTCTTCCAGATAATCATCGACGATCTCCAATTTGACCGGCAACTTCAAAGCCGGTTCGGTCTCCGGTCTTAGATTTCTCGATTTCATGACTAAACCGGAATTGAAGAAGGTTCCCAAAATCAAGAACTGAAATCAATAAGAGTGAGGAATTTGATTTTGAAGATCTAAAACGCGAAGGAGGTGGATTCTGTTTGTCGTCACGCGCTCTCTCTTCGTTTGAGGCTTAAAATAAGAAAGTTGAGTTTCTAGAAAATACCCAGATTAGCCTTTGGTCTTTGTCTTTACTTAGGAGGCTATTTTTGTCACTTCCTTATTTTCCTTTTGAATATTTGGTTGATTTGCTGGCCGACATGAGGGTGTGTGTTATGTGGGTCCCGTTTTGTCTTTTTTAAATGACGGCTATAGATAGAGGACTCGCCACGTGCCATTTTATTCGGATGTGGCTTCTTATCTAATGGTCTGTTTTGTCGTCACATCGAGTTCCCATGTTCATTTCCAGTATTAACAAAGACTCATTCCGTTTTTAAAGAATGTGTTTTGACACTTTGCATACAGATTAAAAAATGATAAAAATACATTTATATTTTTATTAATGAAACATATATAATTAATATTATTTGAATAAATAAAACTATTTCTAGAATCAATATATGTTAAAATTAATATTAAATTAGAGTAAGTTAAAATTATATTAAAATTTTAAAATAATAGTTTTGTGTATCAGATTAAATGTCAAAGTAATTTTGTAAAACAGAAAGAATATATTTCAGTATAAGCTGTCTTCTACTAATATACTAGGGTTTAAATGTGATTGTTGACCCCAAAAAAATGTGATTACGGGCTTGGTTGATTGAGGTAGTTTCTACTTTCTACTTCTTTTTTTTTGAAAGAAGCTTCAAGTTTTTGTTATAATTTAAATTGTATATTTTGATGTTGTTCTAGATATGACAATTTATCAGTAAATATTTTTTTCCGGCTACTAAATATTACTTATATGATATAAAACTCACAAGCTTATTAGAAATTGATCTAAAAGTACTTAATTATAAAATCTAAAACATCATTTTATGCTCTGAAAATAGTATCTAGAGACAAAAAAAAAAATATATATATATATATATAAGGAGAGTGGGGTATGAGTTTAGAAACTATGCAAAGTTTAATTGTGGATTTTGTTGCTGTAAATACGCTTTGATGTCTACATCAAGCACTGATCAATCAGCCCATACACCTTAAATTGAGCTTTTATAGTTTTTTTATTCGTTACCAATATACTCACTTTGTTTTTTATTTGACGCTTACATGGATTACAAAAATAATTTTTTATATTTTCTAAATCAATAAAAAATAAACTGCAGAATCATAAAAATTATATAGTATGTGAAGTTAATAAATTTGAATTGAAATTTGAAAAAAAAAAATCATTTAAATTGAAACAAAAAACTATAAAACGTCATATCTTAAAATCATATATTAAATAACAGAGATTAATAATATTCAAGGTGTTAATTAATAGCTATCACTTTTATTGACATTTAAACCCATTTATAATTCAAAAGAGTTTATTTTATAATTTTCTATTATAATTTTACAATTATTGTGTACAAAAGTTGTTTTGTCAAGGTGTTTACTACAATACTCATTATAATTTTTCTATTAATAATATTCAAGGTGTTAATTAATAGCTATCACTTTTGTTGACATTTAAATCCATTTATAATTCAAAAGAGTTTATTTTATATTTTTCTATTATAATTTTACAATTATGTGTGTACAAAAGTTGTTTTGTCAAGGTGTTTACTACAGTACTCATTATGCTTCTTTTTATTTGATGTTTTGGAACTATGAACATAGATTTAAAAAAAATTAATTTTACATATTTTATAAATAAAACATTATTAATTATCTAATTAACCATAATTCAACCAATAGAAAATAATTTGCAGAATATGAAAATCCTATAACATAAATATGATAAATTTTGCATTAAAATTGAAAAATTAATATAAAATAAAATATTCAAAACTTCATTTATTAGAACGAACATATATACTTTGAGGAGACAATTTTTGTAAACAAATAGACTTAGAATTGTTATACATGAAAGGATTATAAAATTAAGGCTTTGACTGGTGACCAAATGAATGTGTGGGAATAGTTAATTCCTCTTTATTCTTTAAATTTGACACCATTTATAAGGAATCATAATAGTTAATTCATATTCATTCCTTAAATTAACATCATTTATAAGAAATAATTCTTTTTCAATATTCCTTCTCCTTCCTTTTAACTTAAGGAATCAAAGAACAAAACCATTCCTTATCAAATTCGGAGAGGAACAACATGAAACAAGTGTTCCTATTATTTTGTTCTTCTTCATTCCTTTCCTCGTTGTTCCTATTATTCATTTGGTGGTCACGAGTCAAAACCTAAAAAACATATCTAAGTTTATTAAATTTTTATTTTTTTTATTTTTAAAATATTATCAAACAAAATAATATGCTTATAACCAACTTTAGTTTTAATGTGTTTAAAAATAAAAAATAAGACTTTGTAATAAAATAGCACTAAAAGTGTTGGATCCATGACAACCGCCATGTGGCTAAGGTTAAGAGCTGAAACTTGTCATAATATGATTAATTTATAGAGTTTTGTCATTACATAATGATTTTATCATTGACCAAGATTTGTAGGCTTTGAATGTTGGCTGCGGTTTAATGCGGTTCTGGGGCGTTTAATTCGTTGGTCGCCATTCACAATTGATAACACATCACTCTGTTACAATCATATAATGTAATTAACCAACTGTGGTTCAAATTAACAAAGGAAGATATTGGAACGCACATGAAATATATACCCTATACGGTGCGGTTGTCAGATGGGTAAGTGCGGTTTAACTTTTTTTACTAAAATTGTTTCAAAAGATTAGGAAAAATAGCAATAATTAATACCATAACATACAATATTCTCTTATATACTGATGAAATATGCTAAACTACCATAATAGGTGCTGTTCTGTATAATTTTTTAAAAAAATAAGAACTATATTGTTTAAATAGAATAATGTATTTACTTATGAAATTCCATAAATACTAAAATGATAGATGTGTTGAAGTATATTATTTAAACACAACATATGAATATAAATTATCCAAAATATATTTTCGATACTGTGTTTTGAAATCTGGCTTGGATCTATGATCTAACCGGTAAAATCTGTAATTCGATATGTATTTTGGTTTGTTTTCTTTTTTTATTAAAAAAAAACATTATCTAAAAAAATTAGTAATCCCACAAAAAAATTGTTAAATTTCGAAACCCGGCTTCCATTTGAACTACTGGTCGATCAAATAAGTAATTTTTACTTATTTAAAAAAAAAATTACTTATTAAAATATGTTGTCTATACTATAAGAAGTATACTATCGTCTTAGTTGTTGTGTATGCTGTAGAAGTACACTATCGAACCAGTAAACTCTGGAAATCAATATGTAGTTTGGCTTGGATTTTTAGTTGTTTACTATCGTTTTACTTTGACGTCAAATCTGTATGTCCTTCAACTTTTTATTTTTTATTTTATTTGCATAAAACTTATTTACTACACGACTTTTATAATATGTAATAATAATCAATAATAAAGTAAAATGTATAAAAAATAACTATATAATGTCAAATAAGAAAACTAAACAATAACAAAATTACAGAGTTACATAATATACAACATTATATATTTAAAATATTTATGATAATATACAAATTATATATTTATAAAATAAAAAATATTCATACGGATGTAAGTTCAAACTCTAATATATTTTTCAAAATTATATTAGTATCACTAGTTTTTAATTTGTAGAATATATTATCTATCTTGCAGTTACATTATTCATTATACATGTCTCCATTCATTTTTTGTTTTGAACCACTTATTTAAACAAACATCAGTTATTCTGCATTATGCGTTTATGTTATATAAACTACAGCTAAACTATACCGCAGTATCTAATCCGCTTATTCCGCAATGCTTAGTCCGATATTACTATTCCCATTTACGTTATTATTGTCATAACCCATGTTTAAATTCAAAATATGCATGCATGTGTTGATTGTAGATGGGAAAATCTTAGTCGATATTTTAATCCATCTTAAGTTTATAACAGAGGTAAACTAGTGTTTTTTCTTAGAGTTACTCTTAGGTTCCTTTTCTAAGATAAACTTTTAGGTTCACCAACCAATATGATTATGTTATTTCATAATTAATATCTTTTAAAAAAAGAAACAAAATATTGTCAAGTATATTATGTTTTTAAAATAAACATTAAAAATAATAATAGTTGAAAAAACAAAACATTAAATCATAAATTCTAAACCCTTGGATAAACCATAATCTATGGATAAATCATAAACACTAAATAAAAGCTTTAAATTTGAAAAACACTAAACCTTTAATCCTAACCCCTAAATCTTTGGATAAACTGTAAACCCTAGGGTTTATGGTTTATCCAAGGAATTAGATTTTAGTGTTTAGTCTTTAGAGTTTAGTGTTTGCTCACGCTGTTAGAAATATTTTTAAAAATTCTTTTTTTTTCAACCCCTAATCTTAACCTCTATATCTTTGGATAAATTGTAAACCCTAGGGTTTATGGTTTATCCAAAGGTTTAGATTTTAGTATTTAGAGTTTAGTGAACGTTAAAAATATTTTTAAAAATTCTCTTTTTTAAGAAACTATTACTATTTTTATTTATTTTTATCCAAGATTTTAAAAGTTATAATTAAAGGTTTAGGGTTTTACTAACGATGTTAAAAATATTTAATATTTTTTTGTAACTATTGTTTTTATATTTTTATTTTAAAATATAATATAATTTAACAATATCTTATTTCTTTTTTTTTAAAGATATCGAATATGAAATAATAAAATAATATTGAATAGTGAATCTATAAATTCATCTTTGGGAATGAACCCAAGAATAAATCATTTTCTTATATCTCAGTGAACTCTCATTGTCAAAGCATTAGCTATTCAGTCGCTATCTCAGCCGCAATTACCTCTTACAGCTTTTGACAAAAAAATGGATGGAAGAGTTTTGAGTGATATTGGTCTAATTATGATAAGTGAATACTCAAGTCCTAAGTAATTAGCTGTCACTAATTCAACCCAATCATTGATCCTTGAAAATGACCAACTCCTTGCTGA